GATGTTTTCACCAAGGCACTTCCGCCTTGTGATCATCAGCGCTTCTGTACTCAGCTGGGTCTTGTGCCTGTCTTGCCTCACTTGCTCACCCCTTGACCTTGCTTGTACTCTTACATATATATATACCTGCTCTTGCTTGTTTAGCCTTATATATATATATATATATATATGTGTACTCCTGGATGGGAACTGGCCTTTTGGCCTTTACCCTGTGCTCGGACTGTGTGGTGACGTTGTGATCCACCCTGAGCTTTGTTTGCTTTGCCTGACTGGTCTTGTGACCCCTTGTTCTCCCCCACTTTGCCTATGGTGGTGTGTCAAATTATAATATTGTGTAGGCTATAGTGGGGTAGCCTATATGGGGTACACATTTCTAGGGTTGCATATTTGTATCACTTCCATTCCTTAGTCATACTTGGTATTCTGGGTTTGGTCGCCAAAATACACCTCCGTTGGTTTGGGCCCTCGCAACACAACGACTCCAGGGTTGCACACAGCTCAATGTGGCTCAGGTTCAGGCCTGACACTGCCCACCCGCCGACGAACACCCTGCACCCCAACCCTGCTGCTAAGCCTCCCCGCGCGACAAAAAGAAAACAGTAACATGTGCTGTGCGACGTCGAACACAACCCACGATCTTGCCACCAGAGGTGGTGATTCATTAGATACCTTGGAAAGCCGTCCCCTGAGGAGCTCGTGAAGAGGTACTATGCATGCAAAATCTTGAACAACCTCAACGACATCTAAGACCACCACAGTCTTGCCCATCGAAAAGGGTGAGGTGGAGGTGTTGGACAATGTTCATGACACGGGTGACGATGAGGTCACCAACCCATTCTTCACTGAAGTCGAGATGCCGCTCACCCTCCACCTCCACCTCACCCTTCGAAGGGTGAGGACGTGAAGACCTGGTAGTACTGGGATGGTGGTGAGAACTTTAAGGAGCTCTTCGATGGCTTCAGGGAGCAAGTGTCGGTACCAAGCCTCTGTTTTGGTATGAATTCTCGTATCTGTGTGTGGTGTTTTTGTGGACTGCAGGGCTGAGGTTTGGATTTTGCCTACTCACGATCGGCAGTGTGGCGTTTTCAAAAACCCTTGCGAGCAGTGTGTGTTTTTACAGTACACGGATAGAGTAGTGTAACCTTTAGTCTTGAAAATTTTGCACCAGGTCATCAGTGTAGATTTATGCTGTGCACTGATGCATGATCGCTAGCCTTAATTCATTACACGTGACCTATTGAACAATTAAATTATTGTCACTCAATCTCCATCATGCTCGTCCTCGCTGTCAGACAATTCAACTATTGCCTTGCCCTTTCCAGCACAGGGCTTGTACAGGGCTGGTGTTTTCGCGAGTCTCCTCTTCTTTTGCTTCCGCCAGATCTCGACCACGTCTGGCCATTGGTACTCATAGTCCAGCATGTTGAGGGTCATCAGCTCGGATAGATGGGCGTCGCCGAGCGATGTGCGCATCCAGCTTTTGATGACATTTTGACGGCTGAATACGCGCTTGCACTCCACAGTGCTCAACGGAATCACTGTAAGCGCCTGCCACATCGACACCAGGTTGGGGAAGTTGTGTGGCCAGTCCTTGGTCTTCATCATCTTCGAAAGCCCTTGGTAGAAGTCTTCATCCTCGTAGTGGCGTGACATGACGTGGCAGAAGCTCTTCAGTTCCAGCTCCACCGCACGGTGGTTGAAGCCTGCCACGTGAACATAAAACAAAAATTCACAATCAGTAGTGTTCCAACTTCGCACTAGCAAACAGCACATGCAGGGAGATTGACTGCCACGTGAACATCAACACACCCGGCAGCCTGTTCTTGAAGACATGCGCGTTGGCATCCAGCCACTGTACCACCCGTCGCTCCCGCTTGTCTGTCGCATCTGGCCACGACTCCACCTTGTACAGCTTGCTGCCCTCCATGTCCTTCAGGCTGTACATGTGTGTGTGCAGATTTGTCGCCACCTCCAGCGCAAACGCCTTTCAAAGCTTGATGTAGTCGGCCATCGATCTGCCAAACTTGTGCCCTTTTATCGGCTCCTCGCTCAGCTCTATCTCATGCAATGTTGGCTCGCCCTCCATATCCACGTCGTCCACTTTGATCTTCATGTTCCCGCTGGCCATACGTGCGATGAATGGCGACACCAGCTTGCTGACTCCCCCTCCAAAACCGTTGTCGTATTCCACAAAGCGGTGCCTGATGCAGGCAATCGTGCGGTCCACCTCCTGGTGCACGAGCGTGATGTCAACCTGAGATTGAGGCGGGAACAAGAAGATTGCGTTATAAGGTTTTTCAATTTTGGCAAAATGAAAGCACAGGAAACAGCAACGATCGCATCACTTACTTTCCGTCGCTGGAAGAATTTGTTGAGGGCGTTGATCTCCGCTAGAAGATCCGCCAAGAAGTAGACGCAGAAGTGGAACTTCAGCGTCTGAACCATGGTGGCCAGCTTGTGGTCGTACTCAATGAACACCACGACCGCCGCACCAAGGACCTTGCACAGCCTCTGCACAGCATCTCCACGCGACAGCCAACTCACGTCAAAAAGCCTCTGGTGCTCCAGGTTTGTTTTGTGAATTTCTTGCTACAGCTCCTTGAAGCGCTCATGCCAAACGGACGACTTCGTGACTATGTCGCCAAGCCCTCGGATTGTAGCGTCGACGATGTCGAGGTCTTTCTACTTCAGCGCCGACTCCTTCACCGCTAATACTTCTCTACACAGTAAAACTCATGAGCATTAGGCCACTAGTATTTGTAGAATTCAACAGCCAGTGATGAGTGTAAACGCTACATACCTATGTGCAATGCAGTGCGTGCCGACGAGATGAGGGATGCGCTCACGGAGGCCCACCACAAGCCCCCTCTCGCAGCCAACCATCACACCCGCGCCGTCGATGCTGATGGTGACGATCCTCTACACATCTAGGCCGACGGTCTCCAAGTGGCCCAATAAGACGGTGAAGATTGAAGCAGTGTCACACTTGTGGACGGTTAGCAGCGCAAGGAACTCCGTCGCCACCTGACGCTCCTTCAAGAAAGTCGCAAACACCACTAGATGCCTCCCGCGCGCTCTGTCCGTGCTCTTATCACAGGTGATGTCGATCCAAGGTGACGCGTGTATGTACATCAGCTGTTGCTGTTGCTGATAAGTGCACATCGCCTTCACCATCTCCTGAAAACCGTACTTGCAAGAAGCGCATACATGGATTAGACACCGCATATATTGTAAACACACACTAAACATGGGAAAATGCACTGTACTGACTCTGTGATGGAAACACCGTAGCTCTGTTGAGAGATGTCGGAAACACCCTCCCTGGCCAGAAACTCCACGAGGCGCGGGTACATTGAGATCGGTGCGTCCTCCGCACCCTCAGGGTCGGCTCTCTCGTAGTCGTCTATTTTCTTCTGCGCCGCCAACTTGTCGAGGAGCCCCCTTTGACGGTCGATGCACTCCTCGTGGCGAGTGCTTGCCTGGAGCGCCCGCATCGACGCTGGCTTTAGGTCGCGTCCGCCGCATCCATTCCTCCCGTAGCGTGCGTTGTTTGGGCCATGTTCACTACACACACTGCAACGCAAGCGAGGCAGGCCATCCTCACCCTTGTCGAGCAACAGCCAGTCAAACTGCGGGAGCCATTTCGTGATGTAGTTTCGTTGAGCCTCCAGGAACTTCGCTTCAGCGCGTTTAGCTGCGGTCAGCTTGAGAGGAGACGGCGCTGGAGGGACAATGGGAGGTGGCGGAGGAGGAGGTTTCACGAGAGGCGTGCCGGTGCCGAACCCAATGGTAGTCTGCGTGTAGCGGGGTCGTTTCAGCGCCACCGAGTTAGAAGACTCTGGTGCTTCGGTAGCAATCTTCGTCGTTTCCACGTAGCCGCGTACGACGGGGTCCGCCTCAATGCGTAAGGGACGTTGCCAAACAGCATCCTCGTTGTCTAGCTCCTGCTGCCGCGGTGGTGACTGTGGGGCAACTTAGCGCACAGGATATTGCCACCCCTCACTGTCAACAGAGGGCTCAGGCAAATGGTTGGGTGCAGCTTCTGTAACATGGCCTCGCAAGAAATCGAGGCCAGTCCTAGGCCTGTTGCTACTGGAAGGGTCTCCATCACCAGCGTTGGCATCGTCCAGGTCTCCAGGCGCTGCCATGGCAACGAGGTGGACGTTGCTCGGTTGCTAGGGAGAGTGGGTAAAACATGAGGAACATTGGGGTGGTGGTGGAATGACAGTGCAGGGAGATGTCGCTAGCTGTGCTTGCCATACCGACAAGGCAATGCATCCAGACATCAACACCGCGAGCACCACGGTCGGTGACACGGATAGCATCTGTACGCACCGACAGTCTGAATGTGGTCCTAGTGATTATACCAAGTTCAGGCAGCAATACTGTACTTGCTGCCAAACTGGAGTTTCGTGGCGAGCTGGCAAGGGAATTATTCCTAACTGACCAATCGGACGCGTGACTGCGGCCAACACACGTCCTGAATGGAAAGTAACCTCAGTACTTGCGTGATTGACGGAAATCACGATCTGACATTTTCAGGGGATTTAGTGGGGGAAGGGGGGGGGGGGGGGGGGGGGGGGGGGGGGGGGGTCCTGTACGCCCTTCAGTGTGAACTTAGATAACAAAAATTTACCCAGCAGCATCAGTGTGGCCTACAACGATACACTTACAGATCAGTGTAACACAGGTTCATAAAAAAATTACCCCAGCACATCAGTGTAGACAAAAAAATTCACCCTTCTCATCAGTTCAGAAGGGTAAGAAACACTGATAACCTGAGCCCTGGTGGACTGCGTGTTACGACCCATAAAATTGCACTATTCTTTCAGGATAAGGGGTCCAAGCTCCACTCTACAGAAGCATACAAGCTCCGTGGCTAACGCATACAGCCATGACAAACTAAGGCAGCAAAGTAGTATCCAGAATCAGCCAAACACCAACCACCAACCAGCCAAACACCCAAAAGCCTGTCTCAACAACGCTCTTTATCTCATCTCCTATGCCTTCTTAAACTGGCCACGCACTGCGCCATCAGGGTACCGCTTTGTAAGGATGTTTCCATAAAAGCTCGTCGGCCTCTCATCGATTGCCACCAGTGCGGATCTGAGGTCGTCCCACAGCCTTATCTCGCGCATCCCCAGCGAACCCTCGCACCGCCAGAGCTTGCGCCTGCCCTGCTGTTGCTGGCGCACATAGTGGCAAGGCAAGTCGATCACCCTCTCCCCATTCCAGCCTTTGTGTGCCGCGTGTATCTGTGTCTTGGTTGGGGCTGAGTATCCCTCCAGCCCCACTGCAATCACTTCGTAGTTCATCCCAGTGGGGCCCTTGTCGTCCCTTCAGCAGTAAGGAGGCAAAAGCAGGGTCACTAGGGCGGTTAGGTGGACAAGACGGAATGGCCAGGCAACAAGTCGTGGAAAAATACTGCGACGAAGGACGTTACATAATGTACTTGAAACGCGTGAAAGAGAGGAGGGACAAGGGAAGAGGGGAAATGGTACTTGTAAATCTTGAGCCGCATAAATCCAACCCCGCGGCGGTCTCCGACCGTTTTCTTGGCGAGCTTGGAGTCGTTATATGGGATCTCGTATTGGCCCATCAACGTGGACGACAAGTGATCTGACATGCGCAGCGCGACCAGGCATTCCGAGGGAAAAACAGAGGAGGGAAAGCGGAGGGGCAAGGGACAACTTTAGAGGGAAAACGGGTGCAGGACTCAGAGCGGGTTCTGACGAGAACGACGACGCAATGAAGCAAGGTAATGGCCTGACAAGGGGGGAAAAAGAAGCGAAAATCATTTCGAATGAGAGTGCTTACTCATGCCGCTTTTGACTGCCAACGCAGCTGTCACTATCGCCATGAGGAACACTGCATCAGGGCCCACGTATGTCAGTCAGTACGCGCGAGTGGTACCACCGCCACGGAAAGAAACACCCGTACAACCTTCACTTGAGCTTTCGTCGAGTTGCTGAGACTGCAACATATTTGCTTCATTTGTCCTTACCGAATAAAAATGCGATTCGCAGGCGCGATGCAGCCATTCGGAGCACTCGTACGAACTATTTCGTTGGGAAGAAACAAGTGAGAAGAGAAACCAAGGCTGCGTCAGGCCAGTAATCCGAAAGTTGGAAAAGCCAAACAGTTTTTTTCTTCCTTCCCACTCGAACGCCCCGAGCGTGGAACCCGCGATTTATCCGCACGGAGGCTTTGTCAACAAATAATTATGACGAAAACAGTTGCGAGAGTGTAAAGTTTCTACTTCTTGCATGTCGAACAGAGTAATGAGTTGACTTGGCGTCGTTCGCGCATAATGACGAAATGTCGTGGCGCGAGTTGGATTTTTGAAGAGCCGATGCGCGGTGCGAGGGGTGTGAATAATGGTGCACAAATGGTGATCAGTGGCGTATCAGTGAGGAAGGGGAGCAGTTGGAGGGGGAGATGAGGTTTGCGGGGGTTGGGGACTGGAAGGCGAATGTTTTCAGCTGCTGCTGTTCTGTTGGGAAAGGCTGGAAATAGACAAAAGGTGTTACGAGTGCAATTGAGTGAAGGAACTAGAATTGCACTATCTAAGCAAGAGTACAATGAGCGAAGGCATGAGCGAAGAATAAAAAGCAAAACTACAGTGGTAACGGGCATGAAGAAATGAGGAATGAAGAAGAGGAGGGGGTTCACTAGCAAGCAGTTGAGTATATATAGCAAACCCTAAATTGGGTTGTACTCACTATTGAGTACCCCACTGCATGCTAGACAAACATAACATTCTGACACACCCCCATAGCCAAAGTGGGGTGTAATCAGCACAACAAGCTCAGGGTGGATCACAATGTCACCACACAATCTGAGCACAAGTACAAGAAGCAACAGTTTAAAGTTCACAAATGTAAGCAAAGCTAGAGGCTATCACCGAGGGCAAGTGTGGAGGAGGGACTATGAGAGGAGAGGAGGTAGTGGGCGGCAGCTGAAGCTGCTGGCACACGGCGCAACTGGAGCAACTGGCACACGGGCAACTGGAGCAACTGGCACACTGGCAACTGGAGCAACTGGCACACGGGCTACTGGAGTAACTGGCTCCGCGGCTAACTCTGAGCGGCAGGAGCAACAGACTCACGGGCGACTAGAGCAACTGGCTTACGGGCGACTGGCGCAACGGGCTCACGGGCGACTGGCGCAACGGTCTCACGGGCGACTGGAGCTGCGGGCTTCACAACGGCCACCCCCCTTCAACCTCCCCAAACTATCCCACCCCACTTTCACACACCCCTTGCTGCACCCTAGGTTCACTCACACCCCACCCCCTAGCACCACTCCGTCGACTCCCACACACCCACTCCCCTCAGCGGCAGCTGCAGCAGTGGGAGACAGAGGAGGAGGAGGAGCAGAGGAGACCACACACCCGCCACCCCCTACTCGCCACCCCCAAACCCTTACACAGGGCAGGGCGGGATGGCGGGTAGGGAGGTTACGGGGGGGGGGGGGAAGGGGGGGGGGCCGACGCGCGGCCTCCCAGGGCGCCAAAGCAGGCGGCAGAGGGGGCGATGCTCGCCCCCCCCCCCCCGGTCGCCCCTCCCGTCGACTGTCGAGGCGACCTGAGGGGGCCGCGCGCGGCCCTCCAGGGAGCTGCGGCGGGCGACGGGAAAAGAGGGGGGGGGGGGGGGGGGGGGCGGTGCACGGGTCCCCGGTGCGCCGCGCCAGGCGACGGAGCATGGCCGGGGCCGGGCCGGGGCAGGGCCGCGATAGGGTCGGGGCAAGGCCGGGGCAGGGCCGGGGCAGGGCCGCGACAGGGCCGCGATAGGGTCGATAGGGGCGGCGACGGGGCCGGTAGAGGCGGCGACGGGGCCGCGAAGAGCGGCGACGGGGCCGCTAGGGGCGGCGACGGGGCCGCGAAGGGCGGCGACGTGGCCGCGAAGGGCGGCAACGGGGCCGCTAGGGGCGGCGACGGGACCGCTAGGGGCGGCGACGGGACCGCTAGGGGTGGCGACGGGGCCGCGAAGGGGCCGCGAGGGGCCTGGAAGGGCGGCGACGGGCAGCGAAGGGGCCGCGAGGGGCCGAGAAGGGCGGCGACGGGGCCGTTAGGGGCGGCGACGGGGCCGCGAAGGGGCCGCGAGGGGCCTAGAAGGGCGGCGACGGGGCCGGTAGGGGCGGCGACGGGGCCGCGAAGGGGCCGCCAGGGGCCTGGAAGGGCGGCAACGGGGCCGCGAAGGGGCCGCACGAGGGGCCTGAAAGGGCGGCAACGGGGCCGCGAAGGGGCCGAGAGGGGCCGAGAAGGAAAATGCGGTCGCACGCCACGGGGCATGCAGCAGACAGAGTAGCAGCGGAAGCAGTTAGGTGGGCCCACAGGCAAGGAGCGTAGATGCTCTGATAGCATGTCACAGGTATGAGGAAAAGTTTAGAAGCAGAAAGAGGGGTTTGCTAGCAAGCAGTTGAGTACATATAGCAAACCCTAAATTGGGCTATACTCACTATTGAGTACCCCACTGCAGGCTAGACAAACATAACATTCTGACAGCGCGACGGGCCTGGGACTGAGGTTGGGAAAAGTGTCGAAGCGGGGGTCCGGAGCGTGGGTTACCCGCCGAGCCGTGAGGTCGGGGTGCGACGTGCGAAGGTGGCGGGCGGATTGTCGATGCGAGGGTTGCGAGTGGTAACAGTGCTGACTGTGGTGCTACAGTGATGTACGCGTTGAGCAAGGATGCAAAGGAAAAGGAATTTTCCTTACACTACCCCCCCCCCCCCCCCCCCCCCCCCCCCCCCCCCCCCCTAAGGAGGTCCTCCTTACGAAAGTGCGTGTACATCCCTGAAATTTCGGCTGCGCAGATACTCGATGAGGACGGGGTGGTTTTCGATTCTGTCCAGGGGAACCCAATTGTCTTCGGTGGGTGAATGGTCCTTCCAGCGGAGTAAGAATTCGATCCTTCGGGCTCCTCGAGGGTCGCGAACTCTGTGACTCATGATTATCTCGGGGGTGATGATTGGTTCAGTTGGTGGTCTTGTCATGCTGGCTGGGCGATTGCGTGGCAGTTGGCTCGTGGACGGGACGTAAGGGCGAAGCAGGCTGACGTGGAATGAGGGGCTGACGTACCAGTCAGCAGGGAGGAGGAGGTGGGCGGTGACGGGTGTAAGCATGTGGCTTATGCGAAATGGCCCGCAGTATCGGGGGCGGAGTTTCGGGGTGATGGGCAGTCGGAGGTTCTGAGTGTCAAGTAAAACTAAGTCGTCGGGCTGGTAAGTCACAGGTCTGCGGTGGCGGTCGGCGTTGCGTTTAGCGATGATGTTCGATTTTTTTATTGCGTCTTCTGCCCGGGTCCGTGCTGCTTGTAACATTTCGGCGAACTGTTGTGCTCGTGGTACTGGGTTGTCGGGATTCAGGGTCATGGGTACTGTCGGGTCTTGTCCGTAGTTTAGGTAAAATGGTGGCTGTTGGGTCGTGGCGGATGGTGAGTTGTTGTACGCGAATTCGATTAGTGGCAGTTGCTGTTCCCACGTGGTCGGATCGTCACACGTGGCCATGATGAGCTGTTCCATGGTCTGATTTGTCCGTTCTGTCTGTCCGTCGGTTTCGGGGTGGTATAATGAACTGAACTGCAGTTGCATGCTGAACTGCTTCCACAGGTTTCGCCAGAAGTTGCTGGTGAATTTCGTGTCGCGGTCGCTGATGATCGCGGCTGGTATCCCGTGTAGTCGAACGACGGCGGAGATGGAGAGGCGTCCTGTTTCTTCGGCTGTGATTGATTTTTTTCAGGCTGCGAAATGTGCCATTTTCGTCAGTCGATCAACGACGACCAGGATCGTGTCGTTCCCACTCGCCCCGGCTGGTAACCCCGTGACGAAGTCCATCATCACCTGCTGCCAAGCACGCTCTGGGGGTGGTATCGGCTGCAACTGTCCCGCCGGCCGCTGTCGTGATGATTTCATGAGCTGACAAGTGGGACACGATGCCACGTGTCGTTGTACGTCGGTCAACATTTCGGGCCAGTAATAATACCGCTGCAGCTACTACCGTGTTTTTTCTACTCCGAAATGCCCCGAGGTAACTCCGTCGTGTGCCTCCTGTAACAGTAATTCCCGTAGCAGTGTATACCAAGGCACCCAAATGCGGTCAGTCCCGGTTTTTACGTAATAGACTCCCCTTGCTGCTGCGAACTGCTGCGAATTTCCTCCTGTGAAGAATGGATCCGTTTGGTACCCGTGGGTGAATAGGCCTGTCAGTAGCGGGCTTGTCTGGGCGAGTAGTATTGCGTGGATCTGGGCAGTGGGGCGGGTCAGTGCGTCGGCGATGTTCGAGGCTCCCTTTTTGTAAGTGACCGTGTAGTGAAAGTTGGACTCGAGGAAATCGAGCCAGCGAATCTGTCGTGGGTTGAGGTGTGGCTGTGCGCGAAGGTACTGTAGTGATTTATGGTCTGTCCGTACTGTCACGTCCGCGCCAGTCAAGTAACATCGCCATACTTTGAACGCGTGCACGATCGCAAGCATTTCGGGGTCGTGTATCGGGTAATTTTTCTCGGGCGGATGCATTTTTCGTGACTCGTATGTGATAGGCTGTAGGCCATTGCCGAAATCCTGTAGCAGTACGGCTCTGATGGCGATATCGCTTGCGTCGGTAACTACTTCGAATGGGCGGTGTGGGTCGGCGATGCGCAGGACAGGCGGTGAACAGAGAACATTTTTCAGGGCATAGAAGGCAGCATGCTCTTTCTCCCCCCACATAAAAGCGACCCCCTTCCGCAGTAAATCCGTCAGTGGGGTAGTTAACCGTGCCATATCGGGGACGAACCGACACACATAATTAACGAACCCTAAAAAGCTCTGCAACTCCGTGATGTTCGTCGGGGGATGCCACGCTTTTACCGTATCCAGCTTCTT